GAGAGTGAGCGTGGATGGTTGTTCGTCTCTGTGTCCCTGCAATTGGCTGGAAACCGGTTCAGGGTGTCCCCCACCTACTGCCTGAAGACGACGGGGATGGGATCCAGCACCCCCTTGTGAGGATAAAGCGGATCGGAAAATGAATGAATGAATGTATTGTATAAATTCTGCATTGGCCGTCTGGGTGAATGTTCCGTTGAGTCCAAGAGAATCTGTCAGGAATATACATGTCCACTTCAACGATAGAAAATGAATAAAACCATTTTTGTCTACACTGCCACTTTGTTATACAACATCTTTCATGTAAAAAACTGTCAAAGGCATACATCACATCTCTCAAAAGCATGTGAATACTTGTGTTACTGTTTGATGAGATGAATAAAGTGTTTTACCAAAATCTATCATCCAAAAATAACTGGAAATTGGGCTTTATCAAGAGAGCTTGACTTCGGGCTTCATTCGAGGAATGTGTGCTACCTTTCACCTTAAAGTGTATCATATGAAGGTGAAGAAAATATATATCACTTTTCAGCACAAATCAACATTTGAATAATACAACTAAAACTAAAGTAGAGACAATAGTTTGTGAAAACGAAATCACTGCCTACCATGGCAGAGAACTGAAGAGGAGGTATGGGGTGCATTTTTGCAGCGTGTTGAGTACAGAAACTATCGAACATATGTATATCATTTTAAATTGCTTCTCCTGGCTCTCCAGATTCCCATTCTTTGCCAGTGTGATAGAGTATAGACAAACTCAAAGTTATCATGTTTAAAAGTTTCATTTTGTTGTATGCTTGATTGACCTCGAACGTGTGTGTTCACACAGCTTATTTTGTTGTATGTTTGATTGACCTCGAACGCGTGTGTTCACACAGCTTGTACACAATTAGAGCACACAGAAAAAAGGACCAACTTGAGCTGAGGCCTTGTTAACTGATAGTACAAACAGGAAGGTTCAACTTCGGGTGAGCAGCACGAAAAGATGTCCTTCAGTTTGTTACAGTGTCTCAATTCGTGCGAAATATACCCATTGAATTAACAAGGTATCCATTGTTTGTACAGGGAGGTGTCTTGGTCTAAAAATGTCTACTGAGGGGCGTGTAGGTGGACTGGGTTGAGAGGCGTGACATGTAAATGAAGAAGGGAGTGTTTTTCTGATATATCACTTGTAATTTGCATACACGATCAATAAAAAGCCGGCAGAGGCTGCAGAGGTCAGGTGTCAGTTGAGAAGGGCACACGGAGTGGCTTCAAAGAAAACTGCGCCTCCTGCCGGCAGCAAAGACAATCTCTTCCTGAGTCTGTTCAACTGTCCGAGCGAACATCTCTGACCGTGCCGTCGGTGAATTGTACATGAAACAAAGTTTGAATGAGAATAATCATAAGAAAGAAAGATTGAAGTCTGCTGACCCCTAACAACTTCGATGATGCAGGTCATGTGCCACCATTTGTTAAAGATGACCTGCTATTTGATTTCATTTTTTAAATACTTTTTTTGTGAAAGTGAAACTGAGTATCCTAACATAAAAATTTATTTTAATTACGTGCACACGGACACACTAATCTTTTGTTTTTCTTTTCCATCACACACACACACACACACACACACACACACACACACACACACACACACACACATTCAAAAACATGCATGGCACACTGATTGAACACTAATTGTCCCTAGGTGTGAGAGAGAGCGTGGATGGTTGTTCGTCTCTGTGTCCCTGCAATTGGCTGGAAACCGGTTCAGGGTGTCCCCCACCTACTGCCTGAAGACGACGGGGATGGGATCCAGCACCCCCTTGTGAGGATAAAGCGGATCGGAAAATGAATGAATGAATGTATTGTATAAATTCTGCATTGGCCGTCTGGGTGAATGTTCCGTTGAGTCCAAGAGAATCTGTCAGGAATAGACATGTCCACTTCAACGATAGAAAATGAATAAAACCATTTTTGTCTACACTGCCACTTTGTTATACAACATCTTTCATGTAAAAAACTGTCAAAGGCATACATCACATCTCTCAAAAGCATGTGAATACTTGTGTTACTGTTTGATGAGATGAATAAAGTGTTTTACCAAAATCTGTCATCCAAAAATAACTGGAAATTGGGCTTTATCAAGAGAGCTTGACTTCGGGCTTCATTCGAGGAATGTGTGCTACCTTTCACCTTAAAGTGTATCATATGAAGGTGAAGAAAATATATATCACTTTTCAGCACAAATCAACATTTGAACAATACATATGTTTAAAAAAAAAAAAACATATAGAATCCCAACAACCCGGGGACAAATTGGTCTTTACGACTGCCTCTCAGTTGAGAGATCCTGGATTCAAATCTATGCTCAGGCTTGAAGTCTTCTTTGTAAATAGGGTTAGTTGCAAAATTAGGCATATTATATACCCACCATTAAGTGCAATCACAGTAATGCAAAACATGTTTTGATTATAATATAATAATAATAATAATAATACATTTTATTTATAAGCGCCTTTCAAGATTAGTCAGTAGCTACATCTGCTTCACAGTTCTAAGCTCTGTTCTGACCTTTTTGTGTCGAGTTTTTGCATGTTCCTCCTGCGCTTAAATGGGTTTTCTCTACGTATTTCCTCTCATCCATGAACCATTCTCTGTACCACTTATCTTCACTTGTGTCCCATGTGTACTGGACCCTCC